AAAAACTAAGTTAGAAATTAGGGCCAGAGAAATTCTCTCTGGTCTTTAAGAGTTAGCTTAAGTTTTTTATATGGTTAGATTCGTTGTTTGATGCTCTACAAGTTTTATGTTTTGAGTTTTGTCAAAAAAGCACTGAATCAGGAGATACAAGTTTGTGTGGAAAACGCGCGTTTTTTCAAAGTCTGGAGGAAGAAGATGAAGCTGATGGGCTGGGCTAGCTTGTTTTGCTTCTAACACCATCTTTTCCAGTTTCGCACCCCCTGGCCCATTTCTTTGCATTTTTATTATTTTTGCATTTTTATTTCATTTCTGACTTTGATATTTTATTTTCAAACATAAAAAATGCCTAAAAAATATTTTCATAAATTTTTATAATTATTTGGTATTTATTTCAATTATTTCAAACATTAAAATGTTTAAATGCTTTATAATATTTTGTTTAAATTTAAAAATAAGGTAAAAAAAATACTTTTATTTTCATTTATTATTTTTATTCACATTTGAAAATATTTTCTTTAAATATATACATTTTTGTAAATAATTTATTTTATTTTTTCACATATTTAACATATTTAATATATATATATATATATATATATATATATATATATATATATATATATATATATATATATATATATATATATATATATATATACCTATGTTCATTAAATAATTAGGATAAAAAACATCAAAATAATACATTTTTATTTTTATTGACATTTTATACTAAAAAAAATACTTTTTTTGAATATAATACATTTTTGTACATATTAATACATTTTTGTATATAAATAATACATCATATTTATTTCTTTAAGAAATTAGGATTTTTGCCCTAAAAACAAATAAAATTAATCTTTATTTATTTCTTTACACCTTGTATATTAAAAAAATACTTTTGCATACATGAATAAATAAAAACCTTTTTTTTTGCATAATACATTCTATTTAATATTTATTTATTGTATTTATTTAAATATTGTATATTTACATATTATGCCTTACACATTCAATTTGGTTGTAATAATTTAGGGTTTAATTTCTTGTTAAAATAATCCCCAATTCAAATTTGTACCCCCCCCTCCCTATATCATGTTGTAATAGTGTAGAATTTAAATTCTCGCACCTTTAAATGCTTTCAATTATGCCATGATTAGACTTAGGGTTTGTATGCAAAATCAAATCAACAAATAGTTTGACCTAATCAAAGACAAAAATGCATGAAAAAACAAACACAATGCACACTCGCACCCCTAGTGTTACAATCCACTTGTTGCCTTCAAAAATGGGCCATGATATGCATGTCAAGTACTTTGGCAAAACAAAAATAAAACAAAGATCATAGTCCCTCAATGACGCTATCTGAGTTGCCTAAACAAAAATGATCAAGTCCCTCAAGAAAATTGCCAAAAATACTTGACACTATTTCTATCATGGTCTATACGATGACCCGCGCCTGTCCCGTTTAACATCCTAACACAAGGTTGTTCATCAAACACAATGGTGAAACAACACTGTTAAAAGGGTTAAAAACATAAGAAAGATCTTTGAGTAAAATAGGGTAGATAACTCTTAGTTACTTGATCAAAGCTTACAACAAAAAAAACATCTTTGCTATCTTCAAAACACACTTCACCACACAATTTCAAAACCCTACTTTCAAACATTGAAAACTTTCAAAAGATAAAAACACCTTTGTATACATTCAAACAAGAATCATTACAAAGGTTTGAAACAACCGGCTGAAAATCATCAAAACAATGAAGTCGCCATCGAACGTCTTTTATCCCACATGAAGGGAAAGGTAAACATCGAGAAAACCCGAGAAGGATGAAATCAAGGTCGAACGACCAAGAGATAAGGGTAAGGGATTCTGTTACGCGAGGGGAAGGTATTAGCACCCCACACGCCCGTAGTACTCTACGGTATCCACACTTGTTATCTATCTTATGGGTGTGTTTAATCTATGCTTACTGTTTACTATACTATTGGAGAGATGCATGCAAAAGAAAGGGGAAAGAATGTAGGGAAAATAAAATTGTGCTCGCTTGGGCCCTACCCCAATGCCTACGTATCCCTTTTAAAGAATCAGAGCAGCCGTAGTTCGGCTTATATGTTTTTGTTTGTTTGTATTTTCTTTAACGAACAGTATTAATCTCGCCTTCTGCCGCAACTCGACCTTTGGAGATTTACGCGTCAGCACAGAAGTGAATTAATACGCTCTTTTGAAAAGGGTTTGAAAGAAAGGCCCGAGGGCAAAAAGATTTTTATGTTTGTTGGTGTTTTTGCTTGTAGATAATAGCTAGTTAACCTCAAGAGAGAGATCTTAGCCATTTCTCTACTTATTCATGAAATGAGTCTTTGAGACTTAAATCATACCAAAGCTTAGAATAAGAGAATAATAATGTCGAGAAGAAACCCGCTCATCATCTCTCAAACTTAGCCAAGACATGGTTTTTGTCAGTAAATTTTTATGTATTTTTGAAGTTTGTAAAAAGAAAGTTTTTTGTTTTAACTGCATATGCAAAGGAGGAAAGAAAGTCACAGGAAGACAAAAGTCACAGGAAGACGAAGTCACAGGAAGACGAAAGTCACAGGAAGACGAAAGTCACAGGAAGACGAAAGTCACAGGAAGACGAAAGTCACAGGAAGACGAAAGTCACAGGAAGACAAAGTCACAGGAAGACAAAAGTCACAGGAAGATGAAAGTCACAGGAAGACGAAAGTCACAGGAAGACGAAAGTCACAGGAAGACGAAAGTCACAGGAAGACGAAGTCACAGGAAGACGAAAGTCACAGGAAGACGAAAGTCACAGGAAGACGAAGTCACAGGAAGACGAAAGTCACAGGAAGACGAAAGTCACAGGAAGACGAAAGTCACAGGAAGACGAAAGTCACAGGAAGACGAAGTCACAGGAAGACGAAAGTCACAGGAAGACGAAAGTCACAGGAAGACGAGGTCACAGGAAGACGAAAGTCACAGGAAGACAAAAGTCACAGGAAGACGAAAGTCACAGGAAGACAAAGTCACAGGAAGACGAAAGTCACAGGAAGACGAAAGTCACAGGAAGACGAAAGTCACAGGAAGACGAAAGTCACAGGAAGACGAAGGCTATTTCTAAATCTAAAGTCATCATACCATGCAATCTACGGGAAGTGATAAATTTGGGGTGAGAGTGGAAATAAAACATACCAAACGAGTACTAGCTCGTGGAGCAAAGTAAAAAGCAAAGAAACTTGATGATCTCATGAGCTGCTAACATCAACAAAGAAAAGAATTAGAAATCCAATGCTCGAAATAAGTGTTGAAGCATCATTGATGTGAAAATAAATCACAATCGAAACCTCAAGCATATCCGCATATCGCATAATGAACCTGCATAAGATTTAACTCTCAACAAAGCAAAGGTGAATCGCAATTTTCAAGTAATCGACAGATTATGAATTAATTTCCTAAAATCAAATAAAAGCCTAAAAAGTTTTATTGATTTTTGTAGTTTTTTATTATATAAAAAAAAGTCCTAAATTTTATTTATTTATCTTTATTATATGTATTTTTACTACTTTTATTAACAAAATTGGAAGAAATTTAAACTAAAAGAAAAAAAAAGAATTTAGAAAAGAGTCAGAGGGGTGTAAGCCAATAATCCAGGGGTGTAGAAGAAATTTGGGCACTAGGCCCAGCCAAATAGGATCCATTCAAATTTTTGTCGCAAGCAATCAGGCTGCCAAAAACAATGGTTATGGGCTTTAGGGGTTGCAGTCCGGAAACCTGGGGCATGCTGAAGAAGTCTGGTGGAGCGAAATCATGGCGCTAGGCCCAACCAAATCATGATCCAATAAGCCTTTTTTTGTCACAAGGCTTGCAGGTTTCACAAAAAAAAAACGCCAGCGGCACTGAGCAACACGTTTTCATCTCATCTCCGCTTTTTTTGCTCAGTCGTGACCTCTTTCTTCTCCAATTGGAACATAACGCCGCCGCGATTTCTCTTCGTCCGGCTTAGACCCCCATCTTGCTCGGTCGGAGTCCGTCTGACGTATCTTCAATGGCGGTGATGATGCGGGAAAACCGGAGAATAATGCTAAAGTGTTCAGGTATGGTTCTTCTCAGATTCTTGATGTTTTCGTCTTCTTCTCGTTCGTTCTTCTCCTTCTTTTTTCTACGGGATTACTTCTGTTTGATGCTGTGAAGTTGTTGTTGCATTTATGGTGCGACTGTGATGAAGGGTTTGGAGATGGTTTGAAGTTGTTTGTGCTTGAAGGTGATGGAGTTTTGTTGAAGGTGAATGAGGATGTGAAGTGGCTGCAATTGTTGGTGAAGAAAGATGATTGAAGAAAGAAAGTTGAAGATGAAGATGATGACGGATGCTAATGAAGATCGAAAGAGAGAAGTGAGAGAATTCTCAAATATTTGTTTTGGTGGTGATGGAGAAGGAAGCAGAGAGAAGAGGGTGAAATTTTGGTGATTCTCCTGTGAATTTGAAGAATAAGATGATTGAGAGGTAATCTTTTTTTTCTGTGTTGAATATCTTATCTATTCTGTCCCCCTTTTTCTATTTGTGATCTCTCTATATGCTGGAAGTTTTGTTATTTATAAGCCATGAGTTGGTTATGTGGTTAGTTAATTCTGTTAGGAAGTTAGGATGCAGTTTGTTATGCAGTTACAAGTGGTTATAAGGTTTAAGAGTTTGTTATAAATTGGTTACTGAATGTTAGGTATGTTGTAACTGTTTTTGGGTTAGTTAAGTTGGTTAATTGAGATATGGTTTTGGATAGGAAGTTATGGTTAGAAAATTCTGTTAGAGAATTTAGTTGGGGAATAGGTTGTAAGAAAGCTGGAAATTTGTTGTTTAGAAATTCTACTTTGGAAGTTGGTTAAGAAACGGTTAGGAATCTGTGAATTAGAAAGGTTGGTTGAAATTGTGTTAGTTATAAGTTAGAAGTCCTGTTTGGAATTGGTTGGAGTTAGAGGAGTTAGGCTGTTAGAAGAAGTTGTGTTAGTTTTGGAATGAAGAGTAGCTAGGATACTGTTTAGTTATTTGTAGTGAATCAACAGAGTTCTCACGTATGATTTTTGACGGAAAGTAAGGAGAAGAGACATCAGTAACTGCAACATCCTTCACAGAACTGTTATTCTTGTTTGACTGGCTTTCATTCATTCCAGTAGTTCTCAAATTAAATATTAGACGGATGTCAACCTCCAGTGCAATTTCTTGGATACCACCAGATTCATTTTCAAGTGCCAAAACGAGAGTAAAGTGAGACAGAGATATGTCAAATGCATCTGGCAATCCACTTTCAGCTTGTTGAGATGTGCCAACAGTCCCTTGATCAATCTCAATATCAAGATTATAGCTCTCCAATTTGATTTCCATAAAGTTCCTTTATAAGTTTGACCTGTTCCCGTCTATCCACGTATGCCTGCAATAGATCTCCAACATGATCTATGAATTTCATAGCATTGGATGAAAGGAGATCTTTTTCTATTTCGTGTATAGGCAAGAAATATGGAAGTGTGTGCTCAAGGACAGTCATTTTTTCAAGAAATGACTTGCTCTCCAGTACACAGTGGTAAAAATCACAAGGTTCACCAGCAAAAGATGTCTCATACTGTATGCCAATTCTCGCCCCTTCCAAACAGCAAATTACCTTGTTTCCAGTTTTGTAAGTAATTTTTCCTGAGGGCTTGTTAATACGTCAGTGTCCCCAGATATTGCTTTTCTGTCTGTCTCTATATGCACCTGCTCTCTTATTGCAGCTAGTAGACCATCATTCCACTGCTCCCCATACTGTAGAAGATGTTCTAACGATCGAATAGCCATCTCAACATCTAATTCTTCAGCCATTGCTACCATAACACTTCCAAGAACTGTTGGACCCTGGTGCATTTCACCTTTGTCAAGATGTTGTGAACAATGACCCAAAAGATTTTGCACCTTGAGAACATTCCCAGTTCCAGCATAGGCGCATGACAGTAGTGTCATGTCACAATACTTCCTAATTTTTTCATTAAAAGTCTTTGAAACTTCAGCAGTTGCCTTTACACTTTCCTGCTTCCCAAGATAAAGAAGACCAAGACCGAGTGGTAGTAGTCGTGTAAGGGGCTCTCCCAACTCTGACTCACTCCGGTCCATTAGTGTAAATATGATTGCTTGAGCAACTTCCTCATTGCAAGAACCCACGTAGATCAAGCCCAATGCAATTTCCATGAAAGCAATCACATCAAGTGAAGCTTTAGGATCACTCAGAATAGGTGCCAACTTGTATCGTAATTGCTCATTCGGGGAACCTGCATATGCAATTCTTAATCCCATAATTGCACCAATTCTGATCGAACTATCTTCTTTATCTATATAATCACCAAGGAGTGCCATTGCAGGATCACAGTCATTCTTGATACTACAATTGACAATTCCAACTCCCAGTAATGCACCAGCAATGACATGATTATCATTACTATGGAAGTATTTGTCTAGTTGTGCAAGTCCAGAGTCAACATCCCGGAGTAAAATCATACCCAGACTTGCTGCAGCACTAGTCTTCCCATGTTCCTTGTTTTTGAAAAGCCAATTTCCAGAAGAACCGCCACTTGAAGAATCAGATACAACAGTCATTAACTTATCCTGACCAAACCCAGCATTAACAAATGCATTAACAAAAGTAGCAGCAAGGTTATCTTTTCTTCATCACTAACACAGCCTTCACCGCTATCTCGAGGATCAGAAGGCTCATTCATGAGTTTCAATCTACAACCATCATGATCATCAGCCACTTCTTTCTTGGTAACAATAGAAGAATATTTCAAGGCATGATTAGTCAATTCTGTAGCAGTACCAACTATAGGAAAAGCAACTGTTACCAGAGGAATAGGCTCAGGATTTGAGGAAACTTCCTCACAGGCTTTTTCAACATTTACTCCTTTTGCGCGGCTACAATTTTCCGGTTGACCCTGTCATGGAAGCAGAAGAACTTAATGATATTTGTGGCAACACTTTAATCAACTGACCTGTAGCAGTACTCTCGGCTGTTTTGGATCTTTCCTGACTACCCTCATGACTTGGTTCAGATTTAATGACTGTAGAATCAACCAACTTTGAATCGCTAACAGTTGAATTAGATGTCTTAATAGTTGAATGATGAATAAATTCTTGTTTGACAGCAGCATTGTCTAATAAACCTACAGGACCGGCACTAGCTTCTTTCAAATTCTTTTTTTTTAAGTTATCATCGCATGGCTCTGATTTTACCAACCTAAAACTAGCAGTATTTGCATCAATGCAGTACCTTCCAGACTTGGAAAACTAACAACGGGAGTAGCACTGCCTGAATTTAGTTCAGGCGATATTCTAGAGGGCTCCTCAACATACTTTTGAACATAAGATGAAAGACAGAGATTATGTGAATCGACGCATTTATAATGCTTAAATCCGAGTTTTCAATGAAATCCGAGGAGACGGCAAATTCCTCGAGACTTGTGCAGCCAATGACACTGATCTTTTTTAAACGTTTCTGGCCTTTAACACTCCCAAGCTTCATACAACCGTCAAGTATCAGAATAGTAAGTGTTTTAGCCAAAAGAACGGATGAACGAAGATCTACCGGACTCACACAAATATAATGCTTTTGAGGAGCTGGTAACGAAGATGGAAATATGGAAGAAGTATAACCAAGATATCCTTAAAACTACTAATCCACATTGACTTGTATTGACTTGGATTTTTTTTTTGTATGAATGTGCAGGTCATGAACTGAAGATGAAGAACTTTGGCATGGCATGGAATTAGAAGTTTACTCATGGAATTTTAGCACCTTTAGGACTAAAGAATTTTGTTCAAGTGTATTTTGTAACAGTTTTCTTTTCTTTGTAGAATATTGGTGTAATGGGATTGTAATGATTTTATAATGAATGTTTGGTTTGGATGAACTTGAAATTTATAGTGTGAATTATAAATGACCTTTGAGCTTGAAATGTTGGGTGATGAATTTTTTTGGACGGAGTTTAAATGACAAAGTCTTGAAAAAAATGCTTGAAGATATGAAAGCATCAAATTTTTCTTGTAAGGTATTGTTACACTTGAATGAAATTGAATGGAATTGGATAGTATTTCCTTGAACCATGAATGAGAATGAAATTGAATGGAATTGGATAGTATTTTCTTGAATAAATGTTTGAACGCATTGTGAATTTGAATCTGAAATGACGGTGAACATCTTTGTAATGCGTATGAACTCTGACTTGAAACAAAACCTCGCAGTCTGCACTTTACCTTCCAAGAAAGCCATATGAATAATACTTAAGACTCTTTGCCGACTTTAATCCAGTCAAACACTTTCGAACATCTTGAATTTAAATCAAACTTCAAATCCAAATCACACTTGCATTCTCAATGAACTCCTAACTTCAATCTTGAATCCCAAATCAACTTGAATAGCCAATGGGATCTTAATCCTAAAAATTCACAACCTCGCCCTTTTGCATCATGCCTCATATTCCATGATTCAAACCACAAGTCTCTTAATTTGGCAAAGTCCTTCCCTAATTGACGACCCTAAATCGTCAAAGATAGATGTAAATGATAATGAAAGAATATGATCAAATATGAAACCTTATTTCCTAATCTTCAATTACTTGAACTTTTATCAATGAATAGAAACCCTGATTTTTAATGAATTTTTTCTTTTCTGAACCAGTATTTCTTTTCCTTTACCATACCATTCTTCAAATGCAACTCGAATTCCCAACACATATTAGATGAAAATTCAAGGGAGACCTTGGCCCCAAAGTTAATTGTTCAAAGCTTACTTTAACCGAAGTCAACAGATCTTATCCTCGTATCTTTGAACTTGGCCCATGATCATGTATCTCAAGGTCTCATAAGAGCTTGTAAGCCCATCAACCAGGTATGCCATGTTGGACAAAACCCTGCCTTGAATGCCTTGAACCTTTAATTACCTTGCATGAATTCTTCCCTGAGAAACCTACTTCAATCCCAACCTACTCGCATCGCAGATAACAAATGACAATGATGAGGACAATGATTGCCTTGGTTAAGGAGAAATCTATGAATTCATATCTTAGGTCATGAACCACGCTTCACAATTCAATCCTCAGCCCTTAGCGATCGGTTATTTCAACTTGAGATTAGTGTCATAAGGAACATCTTACAGATGGATGATAAAGTCTGAATCACAGAAGAATTCCCTTGATGTGAAACCCTCACAATCTTGATTCCTCGTTTAGACGCACAGAGAAATATCCGGATAAAACATCTTTGAACCATGATTTAACAAAACCTAATTTGATTAACTGAGGAGTGGACGATTGTCATGTCACAGTCATTAATCCTAATCAAATGATAAGCATACTTATAGGAAAGGACGTCATGATTCGAAGTCCACATATGCTAGGTCACGTCCTAGAGTTCTTGACCAGAATGACCTACAATCGGTTGTTTATCAAAAGATAATAGCCCAGTAACTTAGTGGAGAAGAAGTCCAGAAATGAGCCTTGAACCTTAATTCCAAAGCTTGCTGCATGAATAAGAAATCATCCTTTATTGGATACAAGCGCTTTAACCACTGTGAAACCCTAGTATCGCACAACCACTGAACTTTGAACCTCAGAGCTATATTGAATGAAATGTATGCCATGTTAGTGACCTAATGAAATAGATGCAGATGGATGCAAAAGTCTAAGCCAAAATAAAAGAAATTAGGAGGGCAAATTTTGGGGTGCAACAAGGTTGCCACAACGATGGCCTCTTTTCAAAACATCTTTCAAAACCACACACAAAGCACCATTTCAAACAATTAAAAAGCAAAGCAAGTGATTTAAACAAGTAACTAAGAGCCCATGGATAACCATGGATAGAAGGGGTTCTAATACCTTCCCTTTCTATAATCTACTCCCCGAATCCAAGAAAACATCTCAAAGGTCTTTCCTGTGCTTTTTGACCTTTCATTAGGATAAATTAAAAAGTCGGTGGCGACTCTTGCTAAACTGAAACATTTGCGAACACAAACGCAAAACTTCTAGTCAGTTCTCCCACCGTATCACAATAACAAATGAGTATGTTTGTATGAAAAATTTTGATACTCTAATGTTTGTTATTTTTGAGTATTTAATAAACATGTTCTACTTCTGATGGATGGTGTGGCCAAGACATTATAAGAGAAATAATTCTGCTTTTGCGCTACACAAGTTCTGATGAGCAGTAGCAAGACACTCCAGGAGACTCTGAAGTGTAGGCTCTGATATGAAGTCTAAAGAAACCAGTTAGAAGATCTGGACAGAAGTTTCTACTTAAATCCAGATGCTAAAGACTCATGTTTATGAAGAAAACGTGTTATAAAGAAACAAGTCAGAAGATCTGAACACAGAAGTTTTACTTAACTCCAGATGCTGAAGACTAATGTTTCTGAAGACAAAGGGTTCTCAAGACCGAGTGCTAAAGATTTTAATAGATGAATTTCTAAAGACTCTGAAGACTTGAAGTTTTAAAGTCCCATGGTTCTAAAAAAGGTTCTCACGACCAAGTGCTGAAGACTCTGAAGACTCTAATGACTTAAAGTTCTAAAGACCCAAGGTTCTAGAAAAGGAACTAAAGACCAAGTGCTGAAGTTTCAAAGACAAGGTTTTGAGTGAACAAGTTCTGACGACTGAAGACTTGATTATCTAGAGATTCAAATGTCACGATTCTACTCATGCTTCAATCATCTATCATTAGAAGCCTCTGAAGTTTCGAAGACAAATGTTACCGTTAGCAATGATAAGTACACAGTACAAAAAAGCCTTATCCCATTACCTCTCCACTAGCTTGAACTATGGAAAAGAAAAAGAAGTGGCAATATTATTTTCATCATTGTGTAATGAATCTTTTTCAATAGCCAACGGCTCTATTTTTCTTGGCTATATAAGAAAAGGATCATATGCTTAAAATTTTATTGGTGTTCAATATTCAAATGAAAGATGTCATTATTAGAACACAACTAAAACTGTCAACAACTATAATAACAACAAGAACAATTATTGTCAAAATGATTCTTCAATCATGTTGTTCATGATTATAAGATGACATTGAAATCATTGATTAACAATATGCTTAATTTCATATACAACAAGAATCTTTCTAAGCTACATAAGATAATAAAGATGATCATGGAAGCTCCAGTTACAAATTCATAACATGATGTTGTGCTTTAAAATGATCAAGGAAGTAAATAGAACAAGAGTTGTTGTCCAGAATGTTCTAAGGTGAATAAAGATGAAGAAGTTCTTCTCTTTACTACATCAAGATCAATAAAGCTTTTAGAAGCTTATGAAGAAGAGACTTCAGTGATTCAAGTGCTTTGGGTTGTTGTCCGTGAAGAAGCTACTTGAAGAAAAGAAGACCACACATTTGAAATAAAATAAAATGTAATATTATTAGTGTGTATTAGGATCTTTTGATGTACTTAATTGAGTTTACACTTGCTTGTGTAGAAGCATTCTCTTATAAGCAAACCTTGTAAAAACAAACAGTTGTTTGATCCTTCTAAAGGACCGGTTAGGTCAGAAGCTTTAAGAAGGTTTTTGTGTTTATTCTGAAGGACCAGTTAGGTCATAAGCTTTAGAAGGTAACATGTTCCTCAAATTACCGTTTAGATCAGAAGCTTTGAGAATACTAAGATGGTGATCTTAGTGGTTGTTAGCCACAGCAGTTGTCTGTGCAGATTGTAATCAATTTGGTTATATTGGATTAAGTCCTTGAGTTTAAGGTGAAATCACCTTGGTAGGATGGACTACACTAGCTTAAGGGTTTCTCAAGTGAACCAGGATATATCACGTGTTCCTTACTTCTGCTTACGCTTAATTGTTTATGCTTCTAAAACACATTCAAAAGCATCACCCAACACAACAATGTTAAGAAACGAAAGTTTGTTAAGAAAAGAAAACCCAATTCAACCCCCCCCCCCCCTCCCCTTTCTTGCATTTTCTTCACATCTTTAACCTAGACGGTTTATCATCATCCTTCTTCACTGACTATCTACTATAGAATGGTTTAGAACTTCTATTTTCTTTTCGGTATTTAAAACCTTAGCTTCCAAAGTAGCAAAAATATTTTGATGTGAAGCTAATTTTTTAAAAGCATTTAAAGCTTCTCTTTGTAGATTGTCAAAAGCAAGTTGTAATTTAGAATAAGACAATTTTTTATTCCTTTGACGATGATGGGTGGAGAGACATAGATTTTCCTCTACTTAATTATCACTTGAGCTCTTACAACATGAGGAATCACTATCGCTCTCCCAAGCTACATAAGCTCTTCTAGATTTCCTAGACTTCATCTGTTTTCCCTTTTATTTGTCTTTGTCAAGATATGGACATTTTGGCCTATAATGACCCAATTTTTCATAATTGTAACATGCACTTCTTGACTCTCCTTTGTTGTTGTCATCTTTCTTTGAGGATGAGAATTGTCTTATAAACTTAATGAGGTTTTTGTCGGAGTGCTTTACTCTATTCTTTCTAATGTACCTATTGTACCTTCTTGCAAACAACCCCATTTCCTTATCATTTGAATTGTCATCGTCACTATCATCATTATCACTTTGATCATTTGTTGAGGATCTTGAGCTAGAAGCCTTTAGAGAAATAGACTTATTTTCTACCTCATTATCCTTGTTTTTCTCATGTTTTTATAAGCAAGTGAATTATTGCTCGGGTTCTTGAAGCTTACCAAACAATATGGTGAGGTCAAGTGTTGTGACATTATTGGCTTCCTAGTAAGACACCTCAAAAATTTATTAGTAGAAATTTCATTAGACATGGGTTTTCCAAGTGTGTTCAAACGATTAATGAGACGAGTGAACCTCTTTTTCATTTCGATAATGGTTCTACCATGATTCATACTAAAGAGTTCAAACTCTTGATTTAGTGTATTAATTATAGCTTGTTTGACTTCATTGGTTCCCTCATGGGAAACTTGCAATGCGTCCCACATAGATTTAGAAGTTTTACAATGGGAAACACGATAAAATTCATCAACACCAAGAAAGGATATGAGAATGTTCCATGCTTCCAATTGTAACCACCCTATTTTTCCTTATCCTCATTATTTCGTTGTGCTTTCGATTTGGGTGTGGTGACACCATCTATGGTTACAGTAACTTTCTTTGGACCGTTGACAATAACATCCCACACACTTTACTATATGAATTGATATGAATATGCATACAAACTTTCCAATAACCATAGTTTTCACCAGTGAATACAGACACTCTATTGCACGCCTCTTTAAGTTTGTTTTCATTTTCTAATAAGCATTTTTGAAGCACACGAAATCAACCGGGCTCTTTATAGCACTTGTTAGACGAAGGAAAGTTATCTAGATGGGGTGAAAAGATATCTAATGAAAAAGATTTATTAAAATTTTGTTTTAAAAATTAAGTAAAAACCATGGCAAGCGGAAGTTGTATCCTAGATCACGAGTCGTCCAAACCGAACCGGTTATTAAAGGCTCGAATATGCATACAATATCAACTACTCAATTGAATAATGATAATAAGGTCTTAATACAATAAACTTCTCAAGTAATTGTTTTAAAATTACAAGGCCAACCACTATCCAATGAAACGAATAATAAAATCAATTGAAACATTTATCAAACACTTGGTGTGCACTTAATTTTTCAGATTTTCCTTTGAGGTTTATTGATATTAAATACCTCTTATAATCTAATAGATTGTAATATAATCAACAAAAGATTTAACAATCAAAGGATTTATTAATACAAATTAATTGCACACACAAAGAGTTTAATAAATATGCTAATATAATACAAATGGGAGAGAGAGAGAGAGAGAGAGAGAGAGGGAAAACGACACGAGGATTTGTCTAGAAAGTTCACCAATCATACTCGCTATGGATACGTCTCCCCCCAATTCGGTTTGGAATTGAGATAAATTTATTTCTATGTGCAAAAAGTTGTTTACAAGATAAATGAAGCAATCCAATCCTACAAACCCTGTGTTTGATGTTGATTCTAGAAATTTCTCTCCCCTTGATCCGAGTTTGATCAAGTTCCCAACAATACCAATTTGATCCACCGTCTCGCACTACTCCTTTGCAAGAAACCACCATTCTTCAAAGCTATTCACCCGTTCGAATCCAAATTGTGTAATTTTTGTATCCCCAAGATTCCCAAACAATTCACCATCTCACGCTTCTCCTTTGCAAGAACCTCCCGTTCTTCAAAGCCTTTCACTCAGTCAAATCAAATATCTGCAGAATCTTGTAAAAACTCCCAAATCCACACTTTAATCTTGAGGTAAAAACTCTCACCATTTTTACGATGAACCCTCTTATGATGCTCAACCCAACCTTAGGTTACAACCAACTTAAATTGTATGTTATCAACACAAGTCTAGATAGCACCCAAACAATGAATAATTATGTGTATGTTATTTGTGTGTATGCATAGATGCAAGGTTGGAGATGATGAGAAATCTTAGTATGATTCTATAGTTTCATCAAGTTGAAAATGATGCATGTTGAAGTATATATAGGTGTGAAAGTTGGAGGCAAATGGGAAACCTAGAAGTTTGAAAAGGAAAAAGATTTTTGCAAATTTTTGACACATGTGTCAATACATGTAAGTTATGTATCGACACATGTAATGATATGTGTCGACCTGTATGAGGTCTTTGTGTCGGCACAACATTCTAAATACTTTTATGCTTCAAAACAACAACACATGTATCGACGCATATAATGGATGTGTCGACACATATAAATTATTTTTATGCAAAAATATATTTTTAATGACAGGTGTTGACCTATATGAGGTCTTTGTGTCGAACATAGTTACAGAGCCTACAAAATTTATTATTGAACTACATATGTTGACACATAGTATGGATGTGTCAACACATCCAACTAATTTTTATGCACAAAATCATTTTTGATGCATGATACCTTTCGACATCCTTTTCAATCATGTTCTAGATGCATTCTAAGATCCCTAATGCAAGGGTGCATACAATGACTCAGCGATATTGTTCAACATACAGAAAAGCTAAATATATCCTAATTTTGACATCATACAAAACATCTATTTAAGAGGCAAATGCATTCACAATATATACTAGTGAGCCATCAAATTCAAAGAATATGTGTGTTACTCTCCTTTAGAAAACATAATGCACAATGCCAGGTAACATGTCTCAACATTTTATCAAATACCATTACAAGTGCATTAATTTGTCCTACTCCATTCCACCATATTATTGTAAATTGTATGATAGACAACCACATCATCAACATATGTATTCTCAGTAGAATGAGAAGTCTCAAGGGCATCCTCAACAAGTTTGGTATGACAAGCCTAATATTATTGTTCATATTGCTTGTTCCTCCCCCAAGAGTGTTGAAGTACATGTTCATGTCATCATGGGTGATTTTTTAGAAACTAACTATGGCACATAAGGCTTGGGAGTACGAGGAACTTTTTTACAAAAAAAGCTTCCATATGTATGTCTAATCTCAAAAGTGAAGAATGTAAAATTTATGACGTTTGTCAAGTTGGGAAGAAAACCAAGATGTCGTACAAGATGCTTCAACATCTTACTTGTGTTTCTAAATTATCACTAATGGACTTTATGAGACTAAAGTAAGAAGTTATCATTGAAGGTAAGGTCAATGGTCAAGCCAGAGATCCTCCCAACATTGAACAACCAATGGTGATTCAAAAGAAGTTAAAGAAGATTAGTGATTATGGCATTATTCTTCCTATTGGGGTTCATTCTCATATTTCTGGAATTTTCACTGTTAAAAACAAGATATTGTGTTTGGTAAAGGTGAAATTGGTGTTCATCATAGTCTGTTGAATTTCAGTTATAAGTTGTATGTCAAGAAACACGACCAAGGCATTATTCTCAATAAGATTCCACACTTTGATGAGCCTGATCTGGAAGCTAGTGAAAACGTTATTGATGTCCCACTCATGTATGGTGTTGTAAGAAACCATCCTCTTATTCAAAATACTATTTTTTATGAGACCTAGGAAACTAATCTAGGAGAATAAGATGTTGATAAAGATGTGTTAAACATCTAGCTCGACGTGTTGGAAACAGAGTCTCCAATTCATAAGGAGAATTTTATTATAACCCATGGAAATAATTCTATGAGTGATTATAATCATCTCCATAAAGAGTTTGAACTTGATATTATTATATCCCATGTTGATACTGTTAATAAGAAAAGAAAATCTGCATAAAAAAGAAAGAAGGCTCATGCAGTAGAAGATGTTAATGACAACTTGAATGGCATAGAGGTGCTTCTGAACAAGAAAAGTAATGAGATTGTTACTAGAAAGAAGGCACAACTTATATCTCAAGACTATGCTCAAATCAAAGGGGTTGAATTTGATGAATATTATACTCCTATTTCTTATCATGAAGCCATAAGAATGTTTCTAGGTTTGTATTGTAGCCTTATGTTCACACCTTATCATATGGGTGTGAAAGTTCCTTTCTTAGTAGGTACTTGAATGTGGAAGTCAATGAGAATGTTAGTAATTATGTCGCTGACAAGGATGTTGTCATTAAGAAGGATGATCATGTGGTAGTTGATGAGGATGAGGATATTCCTTGTGCCAATAGAGTGAAGAGAATTATTGAGAATATAACCAAGTCTTATGACAAGGCTACTCAAGAAAAGGATAAAGAAGTGGTGGATGTGGATGAAGAGACTGAAACTGATGAAGAGCATGTTGTTACTATGATGAAGAGTATATATAGGTATGTTACTAACAGAGTAAAAAAGAATAAGTCTCTAAATAGAAATCTTGTACAATCAAGTAACTTTGATACATGTGGTGAAGAAGATGTTCAGGACATTGTGTCCACCATAAGGAGAAAGGTTGGTGGAAAAATAATTCATGTGAATGTTCCTACAGCCTCCATGGATAATGTGTCATTCCATTCTAAAACAAGTGTTCAGAAGCGGAGATATGTTTTTTAAAGAAGGATTGTAGTTGAGAGAGAGTTAGGTAAATAAGCTCTTGATTGCAAGAAATCATGGAAGTTGCTGTATTAATGAAGACGATTAATAATATTTGTATTTTCTATGAAAGACTAGTCAAAGAGTTTATTATGAACATATATTATGATTGTAATGTTTAAGGAAGAAAGGAGTATAGAAAGGTGTATGATAGGGGAAAGCGTGTGAAGTTTTCTTCCATCATTAATGAATATTTGGGAAGAACCAAGTCTTCATAGTCAAACAAGGTTCCTTCTATTGACAAGATTACTAAAGATATTGTTTGTAATATTAATTCCTTTAAATATGAAAATGAAGATGTTAGCTAGGATGTGCCAGAAAACTTGTATGCCATGTTGGTGACTGAGTTTCCAACTCAAAGGAAGGATAGACAAGTTTCCCTTGTTAATTCTAAAGTGAATGATGTGGTGAGTAATGTAGGTGACAATATTGATTATGTTGTAAATGATCCTGTTAGTGCTGACGGGGGTTCTATCCCTAAGAACAATGAATTTCATGATGGGTCTGCTCTTGTCAACGAAGGTGTAACTAAAGATGTTGGTCTTAGTAAAAGGTCTGAAAGAATTCAAAGAAAAAGAATATAAAGGTTGTGCTGAAGGCTAAAAGGGCTCCTTCCAAGAAGATCCCTACTCCTACTAAGGCAAAGAAGACTACCAAGAAGAAGAATAAATATATGGTTGTTATTAAGAAATCATCTAGGGAGAAAAGGAATGCTGCTCATCATAGTATAATGGCTCTTGAAAAATAATATTATGTTGAAGCACTAAAATATAATGAAATTACAAAGCTTCTTATTGATTCTCGGTCATTGAAGACAATGTTGAATGATGGATCTGGTTATCCTAAGTTGTTAAATTAATTTGTGATTAAGAATGATGGTATTTATCCTGGGTTGTTGAATTTAAGTTACATTCTAAATATAGGGAAAGGTGTCATATACATTATAATACACATTTGTGCACCTGTTGATGAAAATGGTATGGTTTTTGATGAAGAAATGTAGAAGATTTTTCACCTCAACTTGTTGTTGCTGCTACTGCAAGTTTGTGGGAAAGATGATGATATGATGATTTTTAAGAAGGGGCGTGGCTTTCATCTAGTGTTCGTAAGAAGTTGTGTGATGTTTTTATCTGTAAGATCATTCTTATGGTTATGATGTATCTACCACACTGTGAGTTTCGATGCACTCTGATAATCTAATAGGAAAGAATGTACATATCACCATGTCAGTTTGTAGGATCTACTACTGGTTTGTGGTCAGATGATGGTCAATGTCCTTGGTCTCTTTTGAGGAAAAAGGGCACACTTTCTTGATAATGTTTGTGTTTGTATCTTACTTATTTGATAATGTTTGTCTCTTGTGAACTAGTTGTGGTGCAATCTTGAAGAAGTGTTTAATATGTGCTTTGCCTGAATAACAGCCAAAGGGGGAGATTTTTTTCCTTTGATTGACTTATTTTTATAGGGAAAATGGAAAATAAGATGTCTGGAACATGTTGTGGGATATCTTGGCACACAAACTGCTAGTACTGCATTTGGTTAGAAAATATCTATTGGTTATGGAATGATTAGAAGATGTCTTTTGGATGCAGTTTGCTAATCCAAATCAGTTTGGACAAATACTTGGATTTAGTTAAATAAATAATATTTGGAAGATTGAATTTGCATTGAAGAAAATATTTAATTGGATATTGCTTTGAATGAATATTGCATTCTCTATTTTGAGTTATTTAGTAGTATTCCTCTAGCTTTCTTTCTTTTTATGCTTTTTCCAGATTGAGGCAAAAAAGGGGGGAGTAATATGGTGTGTGCATATATATGATACCATAGTGTTGTAATGGTGTGTTTTGAGTGATTAGACTGACTACTGACTTTGTTTGTGCGCATGCATGACTGATTATGTGCCTAACTATGGGAGCATTGTGTTTCTATTTTGATTGTGTAACTACCACCTTACTTATGTTCTACTTATGCTGCTTCTAGTTGTTCAGATTGCTCTGAATGTTTGTCGTATGTTTTTTTTATATTTACTCATACACATCTTGCAAGTTTTGCAAGAGTTGATTTTTCCAAAATTTTCCAAAGGGGAGATAATTATTCCTTTTAATTGGCTGCAATTTTCAAAACAACATAGAGTGTACAATATGTTTTGGTAAAGAAATGACACATTTGGGACGTGATGTTCCAGCATGTGCGCAACATCTAGCCCTGGTCAGCAGACCAATGTTGTTGTTGTTCTGAGCGTATTTTCTAGACATGTGAAACGATATTTGTTACTATCTTTTAGCAATGTATTATTTATATTTGTTTGATGAGATTGTATGAGCTCAAATCTATTTAATTGTAGATTTAAATTTGATTCAAATCAAATCAAATATTCTATTGGAGGCTTTTGGAAAAATAAATGAAAACATAATCCTCGACAAATATAGACGTGATCAAAGTTGATGCCCATTGAAGAAAAGCCTAGAAGTTACATTTCTATTTAAGGAGACTTAAACCTAATGTTTGAAGTCTAAAATTATTGAAGTATATTTGTGTTAGGGTTTCTATTTTGAGTCGTTTGTTTTTGTTATTGTTTGTGCAACACTTTTTCTCTTGCATTCATATCTAAAGGTGTGGATTTTGATTTGTTAGTTGAGTTGTAATTAAACATTCTCGAAACTGATTATTTTAGTGATCACTAGGGTTAGTGATTAAGAGAAAGTGAGAGTGATTCTCATATTTAGGGGGAGTCTGAAATAGAAATACACTTATATAATTAAGAAGATGGGCATTGAACAAGGGTTGTTCATTTAAGACATTTTTTATTAATTCTATTGAGAGTGGATTTCCTTTCTTGGGTTGAAATCCCCCGACGTAGGTGAGGTTGCACCAAACTGGGTTATCAATTCTCTTGTGTTATTTATTGCTTTGTGTTTTAAATTATATTTTATGGGTTTCTAGTGTACGTTGTCCCAAACACCGTGTCCAATATCTGTCCCACAAGAACATTATTTCAAAATGTGAAACATGTTGTTCAATTATGGAACTAGAAATGAGAGGAGGAATGACGGTGATGGTGGACTGTTGATTCTAATACGGTGGAGTGGGAGGCCTACAAGGTTAGCACTCCAAAATCCAAGTCAGTATATGAGGGAGAAGGGTGAATTAAAATTGTGTGTGAAACTTGTTACCTCAATTTGGTGTCTTTTCTATATGTAGAGAGGGGGTAAATAACGAACCAGTTATTTATTAGCCATGAAATTTAGAGAGTCGTTAGATGCACTTACAATTGAGATTTTTCGTGATTATTCGGATGATAATCCTTGTGTGCTAAGAAGAATATAGAAGGAATAGGATCCATTCCCGGTGGTCAGACAGGGTTGACATGGTCGACCCATAACAGTTACCCCCATAATCCCTTACCAATGTATGGATAGGCGGGGCTTGATATCTCAGTTCCGGAGGACGACCACCATTTAATACCCTTTGGATAGAAAAAGGAGAAATGTTTCAATTTCTTAGGGAATTATGCATTTAATGTGCCATCCTTCAAACTTATTTTCAGAGGTATCTTCATTACAACTCTTGGGAAACTGGAATACTCAAGTTTCACGTGTGAGTAACTAGACGTGTTTGGTGAAGTTTCTATACATGCTAGAATATATTCTATTTTAGAAGGCTTAGTGCAATTTTATTTCGAGTCATTCTCTTCCAAGTCCATCAGTTACTTTCTTATTTAACATTTCATTCTTCTACAACTATAATATTAGTGCGACATGAGTAAAAAATCACATAAAAGTATTTAGAAGTCCCAGAGAGATTCTCCATCTTCTTGGGTGGATCTTGTCTATTCTTTTACTATTTTTACTTTTGCTAAAAAAGGTGGTCTTGGCGATGCTTTTACATAAGTTTGTTTGTCTTCCTACTAGGGAATCCTAAGTCTTTCTAAGGACGAAAAAATATGTGACAGTGTTATACCCCAATTTTTACCCCTAAGATCTCTCTATCATCTAATATCAACCCAATCATGTCAAGATCACACTAGGGTTTGGTTCCTCTCCCTATCTTTAAGTTTTCTCATGAGGGATCACCAAGCACTTTGATTTGTATATTATGGTCATATTTTTCTTGTGTTGATTAACTTTTAACTAACAAATACAATGAATGTTTACTCTAAATGATGATACTATAGGTGAGGGCACAACACACTTCATCAGGTTGATTGATAGGTTCATGAGTTTATTTTCATGCCTTCTTCAATAGAGTTTCATTGAAATTTAAGCTTCATCATTGAGAGTGATTTAAAGAAATATCATGACAAGGTATACTATGATTCATCATGCTTCAATTTCTAAAGGAAGTCAAAAGATGCAATATTTGATCAAAGAAGTTTGACCTAATTGGACAAGTTCTTGATTATTTTATCACAAGTGCATAACTCCCTCAATTCCCAACATTTGTAAGTGGTTGCTGCTACCATAGGTTATTATTATCATCCACAACAAATTCTCTTCACATAGCAAAAGTATTTGTACAAGAAATATTGTCAAAATTGAAAGGGGTTCCCAAGCCATTTTGATGCTCTAGGAGTTAGGGTTTTGGACTTCTAAGGGCTATATCTTTTCCATCTTTTGAGATTTTTTAGTGATTTCAAAGACATGTTTCTCCTTAAAGGGTTATAAACAAATCACTTCAAAAGTTTCAAGCAAATTTTGTGTGAAAGATCACTAATGATTGAGAAAGACTACAAGTCCTCTAGATAGGCCATCAATTTCCCTTATGTGACTTCAAAAGGTCATAACTTGACCAATTTTTATCTCCTTGAACCCATTATTTTTCCATAACGATCTTAAGAGTGTGAATTTTAAATCTTCTTTTATGTATAAAACTTGAAAATGGTTAGAAGATGCCTTAAGACCTTAAAAGATTATAGGTCACCTTATGAATTTTCATCAAATTCAAAGGATCATAACTTGTCCAATATTTAGAATTTTTTAGTTATACAAGTTTCACAATACTCTTTAAGGAGTCCACTTCAAGCAAGCATCATTTATCAAAGAAATTTTTTGGGATAAGACCTTGTTTGGAGTCAAAACATTTTGGGTCATTTTGAAGAAAAACTTAGAATTTTTTCTAAGTATAAAAGTCAACATATTTTTCCTGATTTTAACCAAGCACAACTTCTAGCTCAAGAATCCAAATGATTTATTTCTTGAAACATTAGGAAGAATGTTACCTCGTCTTTCCAATGCATCAAGAATCATGTCCTAAGGTTCCCTAAATCGTGCACACCTTGAGTTTAGAGTCAGCTACTTGAAAATGATTTTTTCTTCCAAGTCAGAATTTAAAATCCATAATCCAGCTTCTAAACATCAAATTATCATGTGTTTTTTATTTAAACATGTTTAACAAAATTCCCAAAGTTGAATTAAGGATCAAAATACAGGAATTGACTGAGTTTTGATGTACATGGAGTCACACATTTTCCACTTTCGGGCTTCATCCAATTTCCCTCCAAACTTCATTTTTCCTCTCAATTCTTTGCACCATTCACTTCCCTATAAATAGAGGATCTCACTCCTCTCATTTTCTCAAGCTTGGACAGCCAAAATCACCCTGCCAAACTTCTCTACATAACCTACTTTTCTGAGTTTTTGAATTCATCTTTTCTCCACTTTTTAATCCATTTTCTTTGTTGATTTTTTATCCTTGAACTTCACTGAAGCTAACAGAAGAAGAACCAAGGCTTGAAGTGTCCTAAATAGTGCTAGCCAAATTCGATTTCAGAGAAATTTTCTACTACTTCGTTCAGGTAAAATTCTCAACCAAATAAATCCATATTCTACTCTACTCATCCATCTCATTCTCACACTTCTTACGGTTTAATTTTCATTGAGAATTGAGAGAGATACTTTAAATTTTCGTGCTCGCTATTTTTCTAGTTTTCTCCAAATACAGCCTTGCACAGTTTATATAAATTTGGCGCGAGGATACCATTAGAATCGTCTTGAAGAGACGAATCTAATGGTAACAGTTCGGTCCTCTAATTTTACAGTTTGTGAAACCTCAATTTA